TCCCTCCGTCTACTGCCTGTGGGGTCGGTGACACCTTCGACCCGGAGTCCTGCGAGTTTTGTTGCTTGTTGTGGCTCGGTTACCCAGTTGTGCTGACTACGCAGGTGCGGGCAGCAGGGGCGTTGCACTTTGAGCCTTGGTGGTGGCAACGCTCTCGTTGTTTGCTCCCCGGGAGCCCTGGGGTGCCCCGTTTTGGTTTGTGTTGGGACTTGGGGGTGTTGGTTGCTTCGGTTCCTTCCACGCCCCCTTGTCTTTCCCCTGGATCCCCCCCTTCCTGCCTGCATCCGGTTCCTTACCGTCTGTAGGAGCTGGGCAGGGTTTGATGGTGTTGAGACTCAGGCAGTCTTGGGAACTTCCCCTTCCGGGGTGGTGACCGGGGCATTTGAGCCTGTTCCTCCAGCCGTGTTGTAAGAGTCTGCCAGTGTGCTCCCTTCCTTAGTGTTTTCGCAGCTGCCCCGGTTTTCTGGTACGGCCGGGGCTTTGGGGGGACGGCTCGGCCCCGGGGCCTGTCGTGTAGGTTGCCGGGGCTGGGGAGGGGCTGACTTGAGGGGCCTTGGCCCCGTAGGACCCCGTGGGGGTTTTTCTCCCCCTCTAGGCAGGGCTTGTGGTTACGCGGAGTGGGGTCTTTCCTCCCCACTCGCCGTACGTGTTGTTGGACATCGACCCCTCCCCAGGCTCGGTTCCTTGGCCTTTGAGTCGGTTGGTTCCGTCCTGTGGGTGGATGCTTCCTCCTCCCCTTTTTGGGACGGTGTCTTCGTCATGTTTCCCCGTTCTTGGGGTTCAACGTGACTTCTGGTCTCGGGTGCACCTGCGCCTTTGTGTGTCTTCGGGACTAGTATTGGCTTCTGTGTTCTCGAGTGTTCGGGATGGTTTTCGCTACTTCCCGCATTATTGGAACGTCTGTCAGCTCCTCGTCTGGGTCGCCGTTTTGGGCTACTTGTAGCCCGGTTGGGCTGCTTGTGGCCAGTAGCCCAGTTGGGCTACTTCTCGCCAGTAGCCCAGTTGGGCTACTTGTCGTCCTGTTGGGCTATTTGTGGCCCGGTTGGGCTACTCGTCAGCCTGTTGGGCTCCTTATGGCTCGGTTGGGTACCCTTTTGGGCTCTGTCTTTGCTTCGTTGGCCGGTTTTGTTGTTCCTGCTATCTCTTTTGGCTACTTTCCTAGTGCAGTAGTCCTGGTTGGCGCCTTCCCGCAGTGCGGGTTGTGCGGTTCGGCCAGCGTGTCATGCGCATGCGCCGTGGAGTTTGTTTTGATCTGGGCGGTGTGTTTGAGTGCTGGTGTTTTGCGCGCTTTTTTCTCAGGTGCTTTGCCTCTCACTCTTCTCCCTTGCTGCGGTATGTGCCCCTTCGCTCCGGGGGTGTCCTGGTTTCCAGCTGTGGGGTGGACGCAGAGGTTTTCCCTGTGTCATGGGTGTGGCCCGCCTCCTTCGCCTCTACCCTGCTTTCCTGCGTGTCCGGCTCTGGCTTCTTCACCTGGCGGTGCTCCCAGGATCTTCTGGACGCTGTTGGGTTGTCACGTTCGTGCCTCCGTTCAACAGGTGAGTTTCTGCGGTCTGGCATTTTTTGGCCGGGCGCTGGATGCGGAGTTTTTTATATACCTGTCTTTCTTTAGGTATATTTCTGTACGACTTGAGACCGTTTGCACACCAGTGACTGTCCCTTTTTTCAACCCTTCCAGTCCCACTCATGTGCATGTCCAACCCATGCTAGAGTCATTCAGGGGACCCACCTTTTTTCGTGTTACGAGGTGTGTGGGTTGTGGTGCTGGTTCTGTTCTCACCAGGTAGGGCTCTCCTGGTTGTGCTTGCAGGGTTTGAGCTCTGGCTCTTGGGTCCCGCCTATCTGGAAGAACTTGCGGGATAGTACGAGTGGAGTGCCGTGGTGCTATAGGCACAATCGGGGAACACTGTACAACCATCAGAGGTCTGCGGTTGTTACACGACCTTCTTGCAAGCATACGCCATATTGCCAGTACGTCTGTGGACTTCCGGGGCACACTAGCCTGTTTTCGAATAGAAGTTCCGGCCCATCCTGATTGGGGGGGGTATGTGGGCCTGCAGGCCACTCCAAGCAGCTGCCTGGTGGGCCACCCTCTGGCCGGTCTAGCCTGGCCTCGGGCCGGGCTTGGGGTGTAAAAGAGCTCCCAGTACCCCATCCAGCAGGTATCGAGCGGGGTTCTCCGCCGTCGGTCGCCTGGTGTGCAGGTTTCTGGGCCTGCTGGGTTCTGTCGTGTTTCCGTTGGACCTGTCTGGGGTCTGCCTGCTCCGTTCTCTGTCTTTGCAGAAACGAGTTGCTATTTACGTCTTGCATGTTGTGGTGGTGCCTGTTGCTGCTGCTGCATGTGTGCATTGGTACCGTGTTTCATGGTGGCATGTCCTTGTTCCTGTGTCCGGTTGTGGTGTAGCACTTTGCTGCTGTTTTGTGCTTAGGATTTGCGTATGGGTGTTTGCTTGATGTTTTTCGTGGATTTCGGACCCCTGGCTTGGCCCTCTCATGTGCATGGGGTCTTTCTGTCCCTGCCTGATTGTCAACCCCTGGTTGTTTTCCTGGGGGTTTTTGTGCTTCAGTTCTTTCATCCTGCCTCTCCCCAGTTGTTTTCCTGGCATCTCCTTTGGTCAGTTATGCCTGCACTTGCTGCTACGTTGGGGGGTGGTTGGTTTCCACTGCTTCATTTCCTTGTGCGTTCCCTTGTTTCCTCCTCTGCTGCAGGGGTGCTCTGTGTGTGTTCCTTGGCTTCTTGGGCGTTCTTTCAGCCTGTGTCTTGTGGTGTGCTTCTTTGTCTCAGTCTGTTGCAGTTGCTCGTACCCCTTGGTTCGGGTACTGTTTCTGGCAGTAACCCTTCCACCTTCTTCGGTTTCCTGGCTTATCCTGCCGGTTGGTTTTTCGGGGTCTTGCAATGTCTGGCGTCGAATCCGTTGTTTCTGAACTCCTGGCGGGCTTGCTTGCTTTGGGGAGTTTTCTGTTCGGCAGACGTTCCATCTCTTTGTGCCGCCTGGTTTTCGGTGGTCGCGCCCGAGATCTTCCCGCGGCTCCGCCTTTTCCTGGGCTCGGAGGGGCCTTGTCGGGGCTGCTTACTTTCTGCCTCACGGTCTCGCCTCCGGTTGGTGGTCGGGTGGCTTTGTGGTAGGTGTCCCACCTGCGTACTTCTCTTGGCGGCAGTATGGGGTATTTTGGCTGTCCTTCCTTTTCCTGTCCCTTCTTAGGTGACTGCACTTGTTAGCGTCGGCTTGGTTTTCTGGTGGGGGTTGGGGGCCGTCGTCTTGCCACATACTGTTGCCTCTTTTTGTGTGGCGCTGGCGGAGCCGCTTCGGCTTGCTTTCGGTCTTGGTGTTGCTTCTGCACCGTTAGTAAGCTGTCTTCTGCGTTGTTTCACCTCCGTCTTGTTCGTGTGCCACTTGCACCGTTCTGGTCTCTGGTCAGTGTGCTGTCTTGTCCTCGGTTGGTAGTGCCCCTTCGGTTCCGGTTTGTTTTTTTGTCGCCTCTTTTTTTTCCTTTTGGCATTTGCCTCTAGGATTCGGCTCGCTGAGTTTTCTTGCTCCTTCGGTTTTAGCGTTTTGGTTGTTCGGTGGCAGCAGTCTCCATCTTTTCTGGCGCGGGGTGGGGCTGCTGCATTCTGGAGGGGTCCTTGGTTTGTTGGTTCTTGGTTGGTCGGGCCAGTGGTGTGTCGTGTTTTGCGTTCAGTGGCATCCCTCCGCTGTTATTTGCGTGCCACGGCATCTGTGTCCGGGGCGCGTTTTGCGTTGATCCGGTTCTGTTCTTCCCGGTTCGTGGGTGATGGTGTCCCGGGTTGTCAGTCGTGTTCTTGCGGCTAAGCTGCCTTTGTTATTTCCCTATGCCCAGGGCGTTCGTGGCTTCGCTGCTCTCGATGCCATCTGCACGACGTGTCCTTGTGGTCATTCGGGCATGAATCTTTGGTGTTCGTACGGGGGCCTTGCTGCTCGTTGTTCTCGTGCTGTTTCCGGGACTTTTCGGGGCTGTGACGCTTTGGGTTGGCGTTTGCTGCCGGTTGTCTCGCTTACGAGGGGGGGTGCGTGGTGTCCGCCTCCCGGTTCTGTCCCTTTGACCTTCCTCTGTGGGTAGTTAGCTCCGGTGAGCCGACGGGGCTCTCCCCAGAAAACCAGCGTTGAATGTAATGAAACGCCATTTTCTGGGCGAGACCCGGAGGCTCCCCGGCAACCCTTCCTCCCTCCGGCCGGCGGTTTTTCGCATGTTTTGACATCCACCCTCAGAACTGATGGGTGGATAACCGGCGTGGGAGGTCTGTGGCTTCCCCTTCCCCCTCCCGGGTAGGGGGGAGCTGCGCAGATAGCGGCGCGGTGATGTGTGACGTCATACTAGTTTGCTTGTTTTCTGTTGGGGAGTTCTATCCACTAGTTCGGCTTTAGGTAGCAATTTTAACCAGAATAGGGGTTTGTTTTGGGATGCTTACCTTTCTGGATGCTTGACCCGGTCCATGGCAGACATAGAATGCTTCCAACCACATGGGGGTTTCTGTAGGCCATTGCTCCCCTTGCCTCTCTGAGGGGGCCAGGTTCTGGCCGTGGTCCCCGGTAGGCCCTAGAACTCCATTCACATGACTGATGCCAAAGTCTGACATTAGCATATCAGCCTGGTAAAAGCTCCGGGAGCCTCCGGGTCTCGCCCAGAAAATGGCGTCTCATTACATTCAACGCTGGTTTTTTGAGATGCTTTCCTTTCTGGGTGTCTGACCCGGTCGATGGCAGACATAGAATGCTTCCAACCACATGAGGGTTTCTATAGGCCATTGCTCCTCGTCCCTCTCTGGGACGTTCTGGCTCGTGGTCCCTGGTAGGCCTAAAAACTCCATTCACACTGACTGATGCCAAAGTCTGACATATCCATATCAGCCTGGATAAGCTCATGGGAAGCCTCCTCCGGGTCTCACTCAGAAATGGCATTTCATTACATTTAATGCTAGTTTTATTGCATTCAATGCTAATTTTACAAGGCCTGTTAATTAATATTGTAATTATTTTTTGTAGGTGGTCGTGGAGTTACAGTGGGCCCAATTCTCAGTAAAGATGGGAGAAGTGACATCTTTTGCAAGAATAAGCATGGCCCAAATTTCCTGTTCAAAAATAATGGAAATGGAACTTTCACTGATGTGGCAGCTGAATCAGGTATGGGGGAAGTATTTGTGACAACTTTTGCATCTGAAAACTGGGAACATGATTCATCACTGCATAATGGACCTCATAGGTTTTGAGACCTAATATGTGGCCATGTTCCCGTACAGTGAATTACTTTTTCACTCTACTGTTTTATTGTTTGCTATTGTACTGTACCTTCAATAGTAACCATAACAACTCTACTTATCTTTCTGGGTTGGCCCCCTCAGTAGGTCTCCCTAACTTACTGTACTGGCATCCAAGGACCATGACTAATATTTTAGGCTTTTGTAACTATCTCTGCCCACCTGATGCTAGTGTCATTTCACACCAACTTCTCACTCATTGGGTCAGGAAGCATGCTGGGATTGATTTAGCCTCTGCCTGATGTGAATACACGTTCAGTACTATACACACTGTGTGCCAGTATGCTGCTGTTATTGCATTCTTTTCTAATATTCTAAAACTAATATTCAGGCTTGGAGTTTCTAATACTGTAATGGAGGGTTGGCATCTTTCCAGTCACTTAGATCGTCTTTCCTTCATCCTTGGATTTCCAGCCTTTTCATCACACAGGTCAGCATATTCATTATTGTTTGTTTATTACTCTGGTTTCAATCTGAAAATTGGTTTTGCTATCAGTCTCCATTGGTAGTATGCACCAAGAAGCAACTGAGCACCAGCCCAGACATTGAGTGTTGAATGTCATGAAATTACCATTTCCGGTTAGTCTTAATTCTTCCCTGCACCTGAGGAGCTGGGTCTGCTGCTGGAACCCTTGGGGTGACCTGAGCTGGCATTCTGAGATGCTAGTGCTGGCTTTCCTGACATTGGGTGTACTACCTCTTCTATTGTTTCCATCTTTTCTTTCTTTCATCAAGATGTGTAGTTGTTTTGCTTTGCCTGTACTTTCTTGGTGGTTTTACTTGGTTATGAAGCTGAACTTAGATCTCTATGGTCCTCTTCGTCTCTGTGAGCACATCAGATTCTGATCTTCATGTTTAGTAGGCGTGCAACCAGAGTTCTAGTAATTTAGGGACTGTGGTATCAGAGCCTCAATGTACCACTGTAGTACACTGAGGATCTACTGAGGTCCAGAAAGCAAAATTAGCAAAATTAGAAACAGATGCTCTATAAAGTACTTTGTACATTGTGAAAAGGCAGCAAATCTTTACAGACAACTAGAGGGTTCACAGCAAATAAAACTTCAAAACTGCCAAACAATTATGCAAACAATTCACACAGAACAAGGGACTCACTAAAACTAGCTTGAAACTCGTCGGTACCAATTACCATCACAACACGACCTGGCCCCAGCCCTCAGTCAGCTACTATTCTCAGTTTTGTTGCTGATGATGGGTAGATCTACTTGTAGTGTTCCAGTCTGTCAGTCATGGGCACGACTGGAACACAGTTGATTTGATAATGGTCCAGGTCGGACAGAAACGTCGTCGTCTCTTCACCTTCTGGGAATGTACACAAGAACTACTTCAAGATAAGTGCCAGCCATCCTTGGACTCTAGTTGTCCTGTGGTGGCCATTGGCTTTGTGTATTGTTTCTGTGTTTTAGTATTCACTTCATGGGCATATCCTTTCTCTGTAAATGAGTAGGATTGCTTGGCTGCTACCCCTCGAGTATGATTCTGGATACTATTTGATGCCTTGGAGACATATTTTTTGAGATCTCGTTGCTACCATGCAGTGCCATCTGTGGTCTGTGCAGATTTGCTTTGGTGCCTCTTATGGAATGATGGGTCCAACCTCTTTTTACAGGTTTGTCTCTGCTTGTTGGTTGCAGTATGAAGTCTTGAGCTCAAAAGAGCAAAATATCTCCCCTAAAGAAAACAAACAAGCAACACTTCATCCAACTAGCCCTGCCCTCATTAGTGCTACCTCTTGTGGGGAGGGGAAGCTACCCTGGGTAAGCCGGTAGCCCACTACTCCAATTTTTTAACTGATGTGCTTGTGGGTCGGTGTGACGGGAAAGTGTAGATGGTAATGCAGTCCTCACTTTGGCTGATGTTAATGCCTAATCACATTTAGAGAAAAAAAAAAAGAAAAAAAAAATGTTGACTGCTTGGCTGTTGTCTGTGGTAAAGTAAGGGAAGACACGCAAAACACATAGTATGAACAATGAAACTTTAATTAACTTAAAAACAAATTATGAATAAGATAATTCCTTGGCTATGTACAGTGCAAATTAACAAGTCAAAAAAATATAACATAAAAATAAGAACTGTGGTGACATTACTCTACAAATAAAATAAAGACAGAAAAATGATTAAACAGGTGCTGGGAATATAGCGCTAGCTGAGAACATCCACCAATAAACAGAGCGTATATCAGTTGGTTGTTTACAGCTTGAGAGCACAGAATATTCTAACTTCAATGACTGGTTCAGGCCCAGACATCAGCTAGGTAGAGGGCGCTGAGGTGCAGAGGTGCAGTGGTGCAGATGTCGATTCACCAGTCAGAAGCAGGCAGGCTGGAAATGGGAGTTTGGTGATCGGCGACGGGGAGAGGGGAGGGTGGAGAGCGAGTGTGATGATACGTTTGCGCCTGGCAAAACATATTTGACTCAATATTTACTACACTTGCTTGTAGTGTTTAGATGTTTTAGATGTACTGAAGTAGCTTGATGGTAGGAGAGAGCAGGCCTAATCTCTCTTGAAGGAGATTATCGTAATAGCTCTCCCCCGAAGCCTGCTCTTACGGGTTAAGTACTTCAGTGGCTGTTGTAGAGGTAGGAGTAGCTGTCTCTACCTGTCTCTATGTCATAAAATGTCTGAATCATCACTGTAGTCAAAATTATGGTGCGCACATTATTGATTCAATTATTATGTTTAAAAAACAACAAACAAATACTTTGTTGGTTATTACACTATATACACAGGTTATATATAAGTATCTGCATGTTTTGTTCACCATAACTAACCACTAAGTTGATATTGTGAGTCAAAAACAAGGAGTGGCCACCACATCTGCCAGCCAGCCTCTCGCTGCCACTCCCTCCCTCAATAACTCCTCACTCGCCAACATCCTCCTCCCAACATACTGTTTCTGCTTTTATTCACTATATACACACATTATATATAAGTATCTACATGTTCTGTTCACCATAACTGTTCATCTAAGCTGGTATAGTGCACAAAGAGCATAGTGGCCACCCTTACACAGCATGACAAGTCAGGAAGATGATGCCACCTCCCTCCCCAAAATGACTTCTCCCAACACTCCTTTTGCTGTTATTGCACTATATATACACATTTTATATAAGTATCTACATTTGTGGTCACCATACCGAACCACTAATCTTGTATGGTGATGGCAGACAGTAACAGGTGGCTACACACAGCTAATGCTCCCTGCCTCCTTCACTGGTTCAAGGCAAGACACGCTGACATTCCTCCTTCAAGTATACTGTTTGTGGTGTTATTACCCTATATAGTAGTAGTAGTAGGCATCCTTCAGTCTCGGGAGACTATGGAGTTGCACCCTAGTTGTCAATTCTGGTGCAGCGTCTGGTGTGACTGATGAGGCCAATCCGAGAGTAGCAGTCCTTCCCACACCGAGCACAAACGAAGTCCGATTCTGGTCTGTCTTCCTGGCTACCGGCTTTCCTTCTCTGTCTCTTTGCCTCCGATTCCTTGGCAAGTGACTCCTCGAACTTGGAGAGACCTCTTTGAACAGACTGCCTCCAGGCTGAACGGTCTGCAGCCTGTGTCTCCCATATAGCTAGATCGACGTCCATGGCTTTCAGGTCCCTCTTGCATACGTCTTTGTACTGTAGCTGGGGCTTGCCTGTTGGACGCTTTCCCTGCATCAGCTCTCCGTACAGGAGATCCTTGGGGATCCTGCCGTCGCCCATTCGCACAACGTGCCCGAGCCAGCGCATTCGTCTCTGTTTCAGCATTGTGTACATGCTGGTGATTCTTGCTCTCCCCAAGACGTTGTTGTTTGTCACCTTGTCCTGCCAGGTGATGTCCAAGATGTGTCGAAGGCAGCGCATGTGGTAGGTATTCAGCTGTCTTTCCTGACGGGCGCGGAGTGTCCAAGACTCACTGCCATAAAGAAGAGTGCTCAGGACACAGGCTCTGTAAACCTGAATCTTAGTATACTCAGTTAGCCTATTGTTGGTCCACACTCTCTTTGTCAGTCTGGACATGGTAGTAGATGCCTTACCGATGCGTTTGTTTAGCTCCGTATCAAGAGAGAGGGAGTCAGAGATTGTGGAGCCCAGGTACACGAAGTCGTGAACGACTTCCAGTTTGGAATCAGAGATGCCGATGTCAGGTGGGGAGTCCACTCCTTGTCCCATGACTTGTGTTTTCTTCAGACTGATGGTGAGTCCGAAAGCCTGAGAGGCCTCGCTGAAGCGGGTTATGAGCCGTTGGAGGTTACCCTATTGGAGGTATTACCCTATATACACACATTATATATAGGTATCTACACGTTTTGTTCACCATAACTGTTCAACTAAGCCGGTATAGTGCCCAAAGAGCATAGTGGCCACCCGTACCCAGCATGATAAGTCATGCAGACGTTGCCACCTCCCTCACCAAAATGGCTTCTCCCAACACTCTTTTCGCTGTTATTACACTATATATACACGTTATATATAAGTATATACATTTGTGTTCACCATAAGGAACCACTAAGTTGGTATGCTTAGTCAAACAGCTGCATGGAGTGACCACCACACACCAGCCAGCCTCCCACTAGCTGCCACTCCCTCCCTCCCTCCCTCACCTGACTCGCCAACATTCTTCTCCCACCATACTGTTTTTGCTTTTGTTGACTATATACAGACATTATATATAAGTATCTGCATGTTTTGTTCACCATTGCAAACCACTAAGCTGGTATAGTGAGTCCAGACAGTAAAAGGTGGTTACACAGAACGGCCAGAACCTGGCCCCCTCAGAGAGGCAAGGAACGCAATGGCCTATAGAAACCCCCGTGTGGTTGGAAGCATTCTATGTCCGCCATGGACCGGGTCAAGCATCCAGAAA